AACGTCATTCATTTGTCTTCTGGCCAAAACTTTGAATCACTAAACCGCAAATGTCTCGTAACGCTCCGCACACATTTTGACACTCAAGCAGATACTGTATTCAGCCGGAACCCTTTTTGCCGGCTCAAACCATTTTGGCAATCAATATAAACAGACACGGACGGAGCTATACATATAAAGATATTCTACAGTTTTGGCAAGGTTTTTTTTTTTCGTTTTTCGGTTTGCCATTTTTACGCTTTTTTTTCGTTTTTGGCAACCAGATCCATCGTCTCGTCCGGCTTTGGCCATGGGCTATGGGCTGCCTGGCGGAAATTCGATTTATTTTCATCAATATTCAATGTCAATGCAACATCTTCGTGGCCAAAACCAAAAAGCGTACATCAGGCATGTCGAGAGCCAACAGCAATTGCAACAGAAGCAGGGGGAGCAGGGGGTGCCATGAGGTTAGAGGGGCGCCATGGAAATGGACTTTGTGGCTTGCAACTTTTTGGGGTTTTCCTATTAAAATTTGATGCGCACGTTGTCGTTGTCTCTTGTCGCAGCTACTTCACCCCTTCCTCTCTCACTCTCTCCCTCTCTCTCTCTCTCTCTCTCTGTCTCTCTCTCTCTCTGCCTCCTACACTCCATCTAGCATTGCCAGTCACACACACACTTGACGCTTTACCATTGCATATTTAAACAAATTTATTTGCAATTTAGTGTTTGCGGTCTCTGAACATTTCCCATTTGAAATGGGCATTGCCGAAGAGCAGAAGTGGGAGTCCTTCACCTCTGTTTGTACACTGCAGTGGCTGGCTGGCGGCTGCCTTTTAAGTGGCGCGCGAAAATTAATTAAAATTTTTGGAATTTATTGACAAATATGTCAATTTTATTTCTACTAGTTGCATACAAATCATATTTGCGCTGCAGTTGGGCTTTATTGTTGCTAAAGTAACAAATATGGCGAAATATAAAAAAAAAACATTTGAAAAAGCACTTTTTAAAATTGCATTGATAAAGAAGTTTTCTGGGAAATTTCTGTTATTTGCATTTTCATTTATAAAAATTTTCGAATTTTTAGAAACTGGACGAATAGTTCCAGGTTCAAACCTCAAGAGAGTTATGGGCGTTTTGCTTAACTAAATGAAATTTTTTATTATATGGCATTTTCATTAATTTACAAATAAACTAAACGAGCAGTTGCAGGTTCGAACCTAAAGCAGGGATATGGGTGTTAAGTTAGTCGTTTAAAAAAAAATGTTTAAAATATTTGCACATTTATAGAATTAAATCGAAATTTACACACTAAAATATGTGTAGTTTTTTAAATAAATTGTCTAAAATAGTTTAACTAGATTCTCAGCTGTTTTTAGCACATTAAGTCAACTCTTGAGCAAACTTTAAGGTCAGTTTGCAGACCTCGTGGCTGCTACGAGCAGAGCAAACAGAGAAGCCGAAAACCAACAGGAAATTGGTCGCGGGGCACGCGCGCGCTTTTATTAAAGCCATATTTGTGCCAGCGGCAAAAATTGTCGCAGCAGCATCATAACTAAAAGATGTGGGAAGTGGCAACAGTAGAGGAAAACGCAAGCAGTGTCCGCATGCAGCTTGCCGATAAGAGTCGTCAACGTTGTGTGTGTGGCCACAGCTAAGTAAATACGTAATCCACGTGAGTCGTGGTCGAGTGGTTGCTCACTGTGTGTGTGAGCGAATACCCTCAGTGTACTTGTGTGTGAGAGAGAGGAAAATACTACTCAGCTGCTGTAGCTAGTTCTTTCAGTTGGCGGTTTGTGTGCAGTCACTGTCTTTAATCGAACAATAGTTGCACAGCAAGCAACAAGCAGAGTGGCGCAGTGGAAGCGTGCTGGGCCCATAACCCAGAGGTCCGAGGATCGAAACCTTGCTCTGCTATGGAGAGTACTGAGGTGGAAAGCTGTGATTTCCATTATTTTAATTTTGCTAAAATCACTAAAGTATTCAAACATCCATCCATTCAGAGCTCACTGAAAGTATTTATGCAAAAAGATTTTATATTTTGCGGAACTTTGAAAAATTAGCTTACATTAAAAACTAAAAAGTACTTCCCATACCGGGAATCGAACCCGGGCCTTCTGGGTGAAAGCCAGATATCCTAGCCACTAGACCATATGGGATTGAACAACGAATTGCCAAATAAACTATTTCAATACCCAGCTTTTCATGACAGTCAATTTGGGATTTCATTAAATCAGTAAACTTAAAAATACATACAAAATATTCTGTTCTAAATGCTGTAAAAAAAAAAAAACAAAAATTGTTGCAATATAATCAATTTATCACAGCATTAATAAAAAATAAATCATTCTAAACGATTTCCCATACCGGGAATTGAACCCGGGCCTTCCGGGTGAGAGCCGGATATCCTAACCACTAGACAATATGGGATGTGCTCAACCGATTGCTTAAGCTGGCATTTCAGTTTCAAGACAATTCAAATTACCATTGAGTATTAACCTTCTGAGCTGTAGAGAACCCCTTATAAGAATTAAGGCACCATTAAATTTAAATATTAATAAATATAGCAGGTTTTATTAACAAAATAAATTAATTTGGCGTGTGTTCACTGCAATAATTAAGTAGCAGTAAACAATAGTGTGCAATATTATGTATTTCCTAAAGATTTGTATATCTCAATGAGATATTAAAAATTTATTGGCTGATAGCAAATGTAAGGCTGGTTTTTGGCTAAAAAGCACATATCTCCCATATTGTCTAGTGGTTAGGATATCCGGCTCTCACCCGGAAGGCCCGGGTTCAATTCCCGGTATGGGAAACAACTATGAGTGTTATTATTTTTATTGTTTTAATTTTTTCCGTCAGTTTTAGCTCATTTTAAATTGTGAATTAAAAATTATCTTTTGTTATCATTTTCGTATTAATATGGAAGTCATTGTTTGAACAAGATATTACCTGGTTTTTGAAAAATACGTTCACTGAAGGCGTAAGAAACCAAAACTGTGGCTAATTTAATTTGTAGTGATTCAGTAAATATAAGAAAAGTTATTTCTGTTGAGTATTCCAATGTATCCCATATGGTCTAGTGGCTAGGATATCTGGCTTTCACCCAGAAGGCCCGGGTTCGATTCCCGGTATGGGAAGTAATTTTTTTAATAAAATTATTTTCATTAAGTAGTATTTTAATATATTCTAATATTGCTATTATTTTGTAAAGGTATTCTTAAAATAGCGTTTAAGAATTCAAAATAAGACACTTTATGCTCAAGCAGCGCGCACAGCGATCGTATATTCTTTTTTTCTACTTTTTGTACCCAACAATTCTCAACTGGTTTTAGCACCGGCCTGTTGGTATGCTTGCTGCTTGCCACAGAACAATTGTCATTAGTAGTGGTAGACTGACGTTCTACCCAAATACTAAGAGGCCAGTTGATGATACAAAATTATGATACTTTGTGATTATAATTGAATACCACGATTCTGACGGGGTTGCTCCTGCCTAGAATTGTCGGTTGTACTGATGGTCTCTAAACTAATGACAAAATTCCTTTCTAAATAATCAATCCAAAAATATTTATTGTTTACAATTGGGTGTGTCGAACGAATTGAACAGCGGTGTGCGATGCTTTGGCAGAGTGCCCTATGAAGGGGGGCGGGCATATCTCCATATGGCATATTGGCACTTGTCTGTGCGCTTATTGATGCCCATTACCCATGCAGTTAGTTAGAGCCCGTCTGTGTCTGACTGGTTGTTGCGCTGAAGTAGTGGGTGCGGCCTTTTGTGTGGACGTTAGCCCGGGTACCCGTGACCGTGGCAACGAAATCATCAGAGAACTGTTGCCGCCGCCGCCGCCAGCCACTCATCATTTTGTCTGTGTGTATTTGTGTGGTGTGTTCCGTTCTTTTTTCGGCGAAAATTTACATAAAAATCGCATTACACTTAACATCCACTTTGCTAAACGAAGCGCATGAAAGCGGGCGCCATGTGGTTTGAGTTTGAGTATTCGGTTTTTACGTATTGGATGCTCGCCAGCTCGACTGCGCTTTTGTAAGCCCCAACACACGTCTGTTTATGTGTGTGTGTGTGTCTCGTGGTCTGTGCAAAGCGGTTTCAAGTGCATCGCGGCCTACGAAAATTAAATTAAAAAGCGCATCCAAAACGAGCAAATAAAAACAATTTTGTGTTTTTTTTTTTCGAAAAATAAAAATCGTAAAAAATATCCAACTTGCAATTTGTCGAGAATGATCTCTTTTTGGACAGCACACTCTATTTATAAAGGAACCAATGGGAAGTAAGCGAAAAAAAAGACAGCATTTGCAGCTGGTTAAATGCGTTTTACTTAAAGCGAAAATTAGGCTTGTCTATAGGAAATATAGGTATAAATATAGGCTTCCTTCACAACAATGAAAAGAGGCAGTTGGAATAATAAGTTAGCTAAGGCACAGAAAACGTTCTAAGTAAATCCTCAATCGAAGAGACTTATTCCCCGACTTATTCTTCGTCAATTTCTTCTTGTTATACCTTACATACGTTATGTATGTGTAACGCATAGTAGACAAATCCGACCCCATAAAGTATATAAATTCTGGATAAACATCAATAGACAAATTGCTATATTAATTCCCCTCTGTTCTTCCGTTGGTCCGCCTGTCTGTTTCTAAGCGATCTAGTCTTTTAGTCTCTCAGAAATTTTGAAGAAGTCCCTCTTTCTATTCGGGGCATTACATATGTCGAAAGGGAGCGCTATAACATATAGCTGTCATTGGGTCCAAAAGAAGGTCATTGTAAGAAAAACTTCTTGTTTCTTAAGCGAACTTACCCAAACTCGGCATTTATAAGTTTTCCTATGCTCTTAACACCTTACAAACATAAAAGAAATTATTTTTAAGTAAAGCCAAAAGCGTGGTCATTTTTTCATAATTAATTATAGTATTATTTATGATATGAATGCATTGTACTTAGTTAATCTTAATAATAATACAAAAAAAAATACATTAATGCAAAATCTTATTTACAGCGGACCACTATATAAAATTAGTTTCTTGGATGAAAAACCTCTTTCAAGATGTCTTAACCATACTCGGGGCAGGAACTATTTTTCCTGTGCTTCTTAGATACAAGTAAACATTATGCGTATTATGAAAAGGTACCTTTTTTATTTTTAATAGTTTTTTTTTTTTTTTATTAATATTGCTAATTGAAAAGAAAACACAACAAAGTTTCTGATTGTGTTTACGCACGTTAAATATTTTGAAAGAGAGCAAAAAGATAACTTTGAATTATTTTTAAAACTTTTCGCTATTTACTTCATTGTATGTTAATATAAATATTTAGGTGTTTTTAAAATTGATTTCTCAGGCTTACTATATCTTTAGGAAGACTTCTATACATATTCGTGCTTTCAACTAAAACCTTATTGAATTGTCTGAAAAAAAGTCTCCTATACTGCCCATTGCAGTTGGCGACTCGGGGCGCACGTTAAGTGTTTAGGCCATTAAACATTTATGGGGCATAGTTAAGGCGACACACGCTAAAAACTTGGCCAGCTGTTGTTATGCGTTTGGTTATTAAATATAATTAACGCACGGCGATTTGTTGTCCAGCGCCATAAAATGAAGTTGTAGCTTGAATGTTAAATTTTCAATGTTGAATGTTGAATGTTAATCATGGCGATGACCCGTGGCGGGGGCCCATCTGTTGTCCCGAAATGTGCAGCGAAGCTTGGCGATACAAAAGTCAACACACAAATTAGTTGGAAGGATCCGAGTAAAAGGAGACACCCAAACTGGCTGCAGTCGTGGAACGACAGTCCCGCCCAGGCAATATACGTAATACATATTTAAATGCAACTGATTAATCATGAATATAGTTGTTGCTGTTGCTGCTGTTGCCGGTCACGTGACTGAAAACAATTTGACTTCAAACACATTAACAGTTACGGTCGATGTTCAAAAAAAAAAAATGAAAAAAAAGAAGTGTAACTGAGAAGCGCGCAGAGGGGCGATGCGGGTTTGTCACCAACATTCGAGGCACAGTCACTAACTCGGCTAACTAAAAGTTTTCATGCATTGCCGTTGACAGTGCAATAAACATGCCAAAACAACAACTGCAATAGAAACAAAAACAAGAACAAGAACTTATGAAAACAATAGCGTCAACTGACCCGCCCATATCAACGCCCCCCGTGCACGCCCACGCCTCTGCCTTACCTCTTTAGGGTGCGGGTAGAAGAAAAAGAAAACTCTTTGAATTAGACACGTAGCCAGTAAAATATTTAGTTGGTTCGAATGTTGGGAATGGTTTAGATAGAGATCCTGGCTGCCTTTTTCTAAGAATTTACACGATTTTTTTTTTAACTTTTTTTTCATCAATTTTACAGAATATTTGTCGGCAGGGGCCAAGTGACTGATTTATGCACTTTGCGGACATTCTTTAGATAAACTAGTGATGTTTTTGCATAAACATAAAATATATTAAAAAAGGCTATACACTGTACACTAAAAGTATTGTCATATTGGAGATAAATCATTTGATATTAACAACCTGCTTATTACAATATGTTTAGATTACTTTTAGTAAAATATATTTTTATGTTATCTTAATTTGGCTAGAAATGCAAAAAAAAATAGTTATAAAATTTAAATAACATTAAAAAAATATAGCAACTCTTGTAAATGCTTAGGAAAAAGTCAGACAACTATTTGAATGTTCCAGGATCTCTATTTAATTAAAGAAATAAAATATAAATAAAAGTTCCTAATTTTACAAAATTAACTTTCTATTACAAATTCTATAAAATATACTATTATAAGAACATTTGTAATACTATTATTACAAATATTAAATATTTTTTAATAACTTTTAATATTTATGCATTTATTTTATGGATTTAAAAATCATTGACTAGACATTTTCATATATTAATAAATTTTCATTTTATTATTATGTTATTTATCAGATTTGTTTATAATTTTAAAATAATATTATTATTTATTCCCATTTGGTGTGCTGTACATATACATTTTTATTCATATTTTTATCAATCAACTATTGTTTTTAAAGTATTAATTTGTAAGTATTGAAAAATTTTTATTAAAAATCATATTTTAAATTCTTTTAAATTTCAACTGTATTGTTTGGGCAAGCGTCCCAAAGTTGATAGACTTTCTTTACTTACTTGTCAAAAACAAAAATGAATGTAAATATTTCAAATATATTCCACATCCTTCATATGCATATACGTAGCACACATACATATGTATTGAAAATTAGTCAGGCAGTCGTTTATATTTTTTCGCCCTTCGCTCAGTTCCTTTTGCTTTTGTAATCAAGAAATGTTGGCTTGTAATGGTAAATATTCATTACATGTGTGCGAATTCGCTCACAATGGCCAAAAAAAATTTTAATTTTTCTTTTTTTTTGCAAAACTGAAAAATAGGGTGACTAATGGCCCATCTCAAGAGCTAGCTGTGCAAAGAGGGTTGTGACTGCACATATGTACACCCATACAGTATGCGTGCATCTAGGGGAGTTGGCTGCATGACATTCATTGTGTTTAATGAACATCCATTACTCTCGTGCGTTATGTAATGTCATAAATAATCGCAAAACGTGCAGCGCAGCGAAAACCATAAAAAATTTGCCAATACTGCTAAAAATAGCCCGCAACAGATGGCAGCAATTGGACATGGAAAGTCATTCGTAGTCTATTTATAGAAATTTAATTTTCTATGTACCAAATGTTTCAAATGCTCTAGCATTCACCATCGCATTCAGCTCAAAATTACGTTTTCGTCACTCGTTGTCATCAATCCTCGATAGTATAGTGGTTAGTATCCCCGCCTGTCACGCGGGAGACCGGGGTTCAATTCCCCGTCGGGGAGGTTGTGTAAACAAAATTTTTTATAAATTATATTTATATTTCATAATTATTTTTCCATTTGTAATGGGATTTTAAAGTAAATACAGGAAAGTATTTATTCTAAACGTGATAGAAAATACTTAATACTACAGACTCCAGTATGTTGCGGTATCATTTGCGAGAGAGGGCTAATGCTTCATAAGGCAGCATATATCAATTATGTTTCTTTTTGTTTATAAAATTTGCTTAATATATTTAAAATTTTTTGTTTTTATTTAGTTTCTGTGTATATATGATAATATGGTCCATTACATGTTTTATAACTTAATTCATGCCTATAACGTGACTAGCTTTCATACTGAGTGGACCTGAGTTCGAAACTCCGTTAGACAAAATTGCAAAACTGTTTTTTGTTCTTTTATTTATTTATTTTTTGTACACTAGCTATCAAACTTTCCATTTTAAAGTAATACATTTAATAACAAACTAAATTTTGTTGTACATAAGCCAAAAGAAAAGTATATACGGCAAACGATAAGGTGTAACGCAATGGAAAACAAATTGAAATATTGTGTATACGATTTATAATATTAAAAAAAAAAAGGGAAACAATTAAATATACAATTTGTTCGAACTATATTAAAAAGAAAAGTCATACATGATATGCCAACAACACGCGGTGTTCCCAAGCGGTCCCCCATCTAAGTACTAACCGCGCCCGACGCTGCTTAATTTCGGTGATCGGACGAGAACCGATGTATTCAGCGTGGTATGGTCGTTGGCGAATGTCGAGTGCTTAGAGCACAAACTTGTAGCTGGGATTTCGATATCATGAGGAGTGAATTTTTGTTGGACTTAGAAATTGTCATGCTAAAAGTGTGACTTTTGGTGCTCAGCATTTGCAAGAGTCGGCCATAGAAGGCAAGAAAATTTTCTATTTTAATATATAGGTCCGAACGACGAGATGGCAAATACTCGGGAAAGGGAAAATTCATATATTAATTAGTACGGAATTTAACTGAATACTATTTTTAAAAATGTATAATCTAAATATAAACAGATATAAATAATGTAAGATAAAGAAAAATGAGATACTGAATGAGCAAGTTAAGTAATATATAACCTAACGTAATATACAATTTGTTCGAGCTATAAAAAAAAGTTGTGGACGATTGCCAACAACACGCGGTGTTCCCAAGCGGTCCCCCATCTAAGTACTAACCGCGCCCGACGCTGCTTAATTTCGGTGATCGGACGAGAACCGATGTATTCAGCGTGGTATGGTCGTTGGCGAATGTCAATTGCTTAGAGCACAAACTTGTAGCTGGGATTTCGATATCATGAGGAGTGAATTTTTGTTGGACTTAGAAATTGTCATGCTAAAAGTGTGACTTTTGGTGCTCAGCATTTGCAAGAGTCGGCCATAGAAGGCAAGAAAATTTTCTATTTTAATATATAGGTCCGAACGACGAGATGGCAAATACTCGGGAAAGGGAAAATTCATATATTAATTAGTACGGAATTTAACTGAATACTATTTTTAAAAATGTATAGTCTAAATATAAACAGATATAAATAATGTAATATAAAGAAAAATGAGATACTGAATGAGCAAGTTAAGTAATATATAACCTAACGTAATATACAATTTGTTCGAGCTATAAAAAAAAGTTGTGGACGATGCCAACAACACGCGGTGTTCCCAAGCGGTCCCCCATCTAAGTACTAACCGCGCCCGACGCTGCTTAATTTCGGTGATCGGACGAGAACCGATGTATTCAGCGTGGTATGGTCGTTGGCGAATGTCGAGTGCTTAGAGAATAAACTTGAAGACGGAATTTCAAAATTAAAAGAAGTGAATTTTGTCTGCATTTCAAAGGGTTATGATATGCTACTAGAGGGATAGACAAGATAGAGTAAAAATGTGTCTGTTAATCTTATATATTTTTTATAAATATTTATGTAATATTGAACTCGCGTTTACTACCCGTGCTTGAATGCTTAAAAGTGTTTCTTTGTTTCCACATCAACAGCTCACTTTTTACAGATGCATATCTGAGCTGTAGAGCAACCCTTTTGCCTGTCGCTTGTTAAGAGTAGTTGTCACCCCACACGCACCCTTACCCTTGGGTTGAGTATACCTGCCATGGCCTGAACCCATTAATACTCATTAGTATCTGCATTTTTTTCTATGTGTTGCGTTGGGAGACACTCAGCGTGCGCCTTTATCAGCCATTTAGCCACTTTGTGTGTATAATCTCCGGGACGTGCAATAACCGCAACAA